GTATTGAGAGAGAGACTGTGTGCACAACCTGTGCTGAAGAGTCCGGATTTCTCTCAAAGATTCCTTGTACAAGTAGACGCATCGGAGAGAGGGATAGGTGCAGTACTGGCCCAAGGACCAGCTGGACGAGAGCGACCTGTGGTATTCCTGAGTAGGAAGCTGTTGCCCAGGGAAACGCGTTACTCTACAGTGGAGAAGGAGTGTCTGGCGATAAAGTGGTCCCTAGAATCCCTGAAATACTACCTCCTGGGGCGGGAGTTTGACTTACAGACAGACCATCGGGCACTGACGTGGATCAACTCAATGAAAGACCACAATGCTCGAGTAACTCGGTGGTACCTATCTCTGCAGCCCTTTCAATTTAAGATCAGTCATTGCCCTGGGAGGAGTAATCTTGTAGCCGACTACCTGTCAAGGTTCCCAGACAGTATCTCCATTTTCCCGCAGGTTAACATTAAGCATACATTTACACACACCTTTGTGTTCGTGTCTTTGTGTTTTTGTTTCGTCATTTGTCCGGGAAAGTTGGTCTTCAGTGTTGTGCCGGCCAAACCGAGCGAGCGAATGGCGCCGGCTTATGACGTCACCGGCCGCGCCATGGCAGCACCAATCACAGAAGCGCCAACCGTACCAATTGTTTGTGTTTGTAGGGTACAGCCAGCGTTGTAGAGGAGCGATATATGTCATTAAACCTCTGATTGTTGGTTGTTTTATGTATGTATGTATGTCAGATATTATTAGTAGCTGTGTGCTTTTATATTTAGAGATGCCACATTTAAATGTTTAATGGTGTGATGTAGACGTTTACCTGAATTTACCTGTTTATGGTATGCTCCAAAAAGGGGGCGGAGTCTAGCCTTTAAAAGGAGACGGCAGACTAAGAAACGGGGTCAGTTTACCTGGCTAGCGAGCGTGTTGTGGCAGAACCGTAAGCAATTCCCTTTATCAATCTATTGTCTGTGTGACATAGATTTCTCTCATATATATTGTAGATATATTGTTTTGTGTTGTATATATCGTATTTTGTTTTTGTTTTATTGAGTTGTTACTTTGTTTTTTTTTTGTACATACCTTTTGGGAAATAGGTCACTGTACATTTATCTGCACTGGACTGTTTTGCGTTATCCTTGTAAATAAACCATCTTTTTTACACTTCTGGGATAAGGCCATCATTTTTGAGAACTCTTTATTATTATTATTATTTTTTTTTTTGCTGGTGTTGGGCATCCCACACCTGGTAGTGAACCCATTCCGGGTCCATTACATAATTACTCACGGCGGCACGGGAACCATTCTGACACGCACCACTCTGTAGTGCGCACTATCACCGCTCGAAGCTCACAGGGTGCCACAGCAGGTGGCAGTAGTGAGTTTGTGGGTCGCGGGCCGTCGCAAACACATATACAACTAGCCCAAAGGTTGATCACACTACAAAGTCATAAATATAATGCTATAAGAAAGAGAACATAATAATTCATTGTTTACCTGCTCAGCTCACTTCTTCATGTCTTTAAATTTGAGTGGATCGTTCACGTCACCCTCACACTTACAGTCACATATGACCTTAACTGATGTACACAGTCTGAGCCGATAGGAGCGATGATTAGTTCACCTTTCGAGTCTTCTGGTTTTTAAGTCATTTGTTAATCACGTGACAGCATTTAAATAGAGATGACTCAAACCCGAGGACTCGAAAAAAGAACAGATCAAATCTCTTTCCAGCTCTAAATGCATATGTTGAATGAACTACTCAACCGTGGACTCGGATTAAATCCTTTTCTGGTTCTAAATGCATGCGATTGGCTAGGCTTTAGTCTTTCACTAATGAACAAAAGACTCAAACCTGATAAAAAACTCGAAAAATTAACTAATCTTCTCCCGCACTACACAACATGCGCATTCGCAAATGAATAAATCACTTCATCAAACTGTTTTGTAACATATGATGCTGCAGGTATTAGAAACACTATAAACACCATTTAATTGTTGTTTATTGTTTCATTATTATTATTATTTATTTATTTATTTATTTATTTTACCAGAAAAGCTTTATAAGAGATTACTTTAAAATCACAATAATAAAACAAAAGGAAAACAAAATAGTGCACATCAAGCTAGGCTTTTTAGTAAATAAAACAAGTAAGCTTAAAATTAAATAACGCGTTTGTGTCATAAAAGCTTAATATCAAATAGGGCAACTATTCCCAATGGATTTTTTATGAGCAATATAAATGAAAAATAAATAAATATAAAAATTAAAAAGCCACAGAGTCTAATGAGCTTAACAAATTGACCATAGAATATTAAAATAACACAAGCTTGGCTTTTTTTAAATAAATATAATTTTAAATCTTTAAAACAACACTTTGTGGCTTAACTTGTTGGACTTTGCTTAAGGTATGTTACCATTCAAAAACACAAGCTCCCAAACTTTGGATGGGCTGATTCTTCTTTCTGAATTCTGATGATTTGAAGTGCTTCTTTTGTCATTACTTGTTGGTCGCAGTATAAAAGATTCTGCTAAATAAGTAAATGTAAATGCAATCTTTTTTTTATACAAATATTAGACCAATACATAAAGCCTGCATAGAAAAACATTGTTGAATAAAAAATGGGGTAAAAATGAACAAATTACAAATCACTTGTAATTGTAGAGTTTGATTAACTTATATAGTCTAGCCTAGTGTTTGTTTTCTGATAGCAAGGAAGTGAATAGACAAACAAAATATATTTTTTAAAAGCATGGTTTCATTTACTTGAAAAAAAAAATGCTTTTTAGGTACACATTGTTTGATAATTTTATGAAAAGTCTCATATATGATCCATGATACAACAATAATCCAGTTTTACATAAGTATTACTGACCGAGGTTCTCATTGCAGTGTACGTTGGAGCTACAGTTTAAGATCAGAAATGCACATAATAATAATATAATGATATTATTATTAATAATAATATAATAATTAATTATGATGATGCACCCGTCTCTAAAAAGGATCTGGATCCATTTACTAAATTCTACAGCCAATTCTGCTGTAGTGTCAAGTCAAGTAAGAAAAACGAATGACTCAAACCGAAGACTCGAGAGATGAACGAATCAAATCTTTTTCCGGCTCTAAACATATATGACTGGCTTCTGCCTCTCCGTGATAAACAAATGATTCAAACCCGATAGAGAACTTGAGTGATAAATGGATCAAATCTTTTTCTGGCTCTAAATGCATATTATTGGCATTAGTCTTTCACGTGATGAATGACTCAAAAGACTTGAAAAATAAACAAAACCACCTGCACAAATGTGTGCACGCGAGAATGAACAAATCACTTACTGAGAGGACTCGTAGTTCTCGAGTCATATTTAAAGATTTGTTCAAAATGAACAAATTGTTCAAGAACGACCCATCACTAACACTACTACTTTCATATTTTTATATAATTTTTACATATTTTTAATACAATTAAGACAATATTTTAATTAAGAGTCACCATGTAAACAGGGATTTTTGATTACTTTAATGTAACTAAAGTCATAATTAAACAAAACAAAAATGCAATTAAGATATGTAGTATGCATATCTTAATGGCATTATTGAAGTAAACACCGCAATCAAACTATGCCATGTAGGATTTTTTGCCATATTTTCCGTCAAAAACGCAGATGCGGACATATCGAAATGCGGAAGTTTTTTTTTTTCTTTCCATTTGGCGTACGTTATCAAATTCCATAACACTCTTCCACCAGTCCTTACTTCTTATTTGCGTCTAATACCCCAGTTTGTCATAGGAGCATGAATCAAATGTTCATGAGTGAAAGTGAAACTGCCAAACTGCAAGTAAAATGCCCCAAAATGACATGAAACTCCAACGAAATCTCACGGCAATTCGTAACTTTTTGATTTAGTGGCTAATTTGTATGAATTTGTAAGATCTAATTCATACTATTTAGTATGATTTAGTGCATTTGTTTTATAACTGAACTCGTACGAATTCATACGAATTAGCCACTAAACTGCCAAAACGTAAAAAAACGTACGTTTCCTCGTGAGATTAAGCTAGAAACTCTTACATGAAAGCATTTCACGAAAACACCTTAATTATATTATTGTCTATTAAGGCAAAAAACTAGATTACAGACGTCCTTGTAAACGTCTCTCAAATTACTTAAAAGGCTCTTCAGTTTTGCTCTCATTCACAGTCAATCATTTTAAAAAGCATCCGGTCCATTTTATTTGTATATGTTTTACACAAACACATTAACTCTACGGGTGCCTGATAGGTAGATGTAGAGTTAACATTAATCAGATTAGCGTCTATAGGACAGGACAGGACAGTAAATTTGACATTATTCTCTTCTCTGGCTGCCATCATTAGTCTCACACATTATTTCTTCCTTTTACTGAACTTCATCGTGGACATTTTCCTTTTAACTATTTGAGCAAATAAGATTGTAAAATGTTTTTTGTTGTATTCTCCCTTTCACTGCATTCTAAGTTTTCCCAACTATGATGAGTTCTCCTACTTAGAAACCTGGAAATGTGAACATTGTCTATTTTACTTCTGTGTTCACGCAGAGCAGCATTGCAGTATTTGGTAACACTTTATTTTAATGGTCTATTTGTGTATTAGTAGACTCTCTGCTTAATATCAGTTGATACAGACATTCAGCAGACATTTCATATTGTATGTTTTCACATAATTTATTAAGTGAGTTTTATTTTTTTGATATATTTTTAAAAATAGTGGATCAGGGAGAAGGTGGTGCCCTACAACAGCCACTATTAACCAGCCAACAGTGTGGTCTATTTATTTATTTTTTTGTTTGAAATCATTAATAATATTAGTACCTCATCAAGCACTTAGTTGATGTGTGTGCTGTTTTTCAGTGATAATAAAAACATTTCGTTCATTTATTGTAAAACAATATTTCCAATTAAAATATAATTTAAAAGTAAACGAGGAAACAAAGAGACATAAAGAAAACATAAAGAAAAGAGACTCACTGATGCGATAGGTGTTCTCCATCTGTACTGTAGGCCGTTGGATATCATCATGATGTCCATGCTCTTCCATGTAGGACAAAGTGCTAATAGAGCTACAGACAAAAAGCAAATGACGTTTATACTACTATGGGATTTGCTATACGAAGGAATTAGTACTCACTCTTTAGTTTTGCCAATAGCTCTGACTTCATGACTGCCTAGAGAAGACAAACTTCCACGCTTCTTCAGGAGACGTGCTTTCTCTTTTGCTAAATCAGACATTTTTTCTGAGAAATCGACAGAACTCTATCTTCAATTCTACAAAAATCTGAAACACATAATAAAAAAGATATTTTCATTTCCTATTTAATAAATGCACTGGAATGGGTTTATTTTTTAATAAACACACTGTAATGTAAAGTTAAAAACACGTATAACAATTTTATCCTGCGAAAAACTTACTGCATCGTCTCCACAAACCGGAAATTCTCACTACCGTCACAGACTTGTTGTTAAACGTTGCCATGACAACATGTGACGGAATGACCACATACGGAACCTGATCATGCGTCAATAGCGCCGCCACATTTGTACAGTGCTCCCAGGACAAATGTTATTCAACCGCACTAGTCAACACAGTGTGCCCGTGTGAAGACATGGATATTTACACTAAATATCGCATAGGGACCCTGAGCATGCGTCAATAGCGTCGCCACATTGGTACAGTGCTCCCAGGACAAATGTCATTCAACTGCACTAGTCAAGACAGTGAAGATGCGGGACTTTAGCGCTGTCTACGGGTGTAGTAACGAGCAAACAAAGAAAACAAAGCACAAAGGCAGAACATTTCGTAGGTAATATTAAGTTTTTTTTTTCTGTTTTTGTATGTTCTGAACTTTTGTGCTAATCAGGCAACGTCATTGATGATAACAGTCACTTACTCATTCACCATACGATAAAGCAGCTCCAACTCGCACTAAACACTTGGCTTATGCTAGTTTTGTTGTATAAAATCAGCAAACAATGCAAAAGAAATATGACAACGAGATGCTGCGCTGCCAGATACTTGTATTATTGTCGGTTAACGTTAGTGAAAGCGTCGTTTGGGTGATTCATTCACAAACGAATCGCTCCCTCCGTCATTATGAGAAGTGAAAGCAGGAGAGGAGGTGTGTTTCAGGACATGATTAGATCAAATTTAACAGGGAAGGTGAATAGTACATTTCTGTACACACAAACACAAGCTTTTTGTCAGGAATGCCCGTGCGGTCACCGATCCATCAATGTAGAAAAGTGATGTAAATTATAATTTTCGTAATTATAAAAAGAAATTACATACTAACATCCAGGAAAACTCCCGATCATAGATATATGTGTATATCTCTGGCTTTGAATGGCCACAGTCCTTCACTGTACCTTGGTCCCGCATTCATTTCAAAGGAGCGCTACCCTGTAGCAAGATGGCGGCGCTATTGACGCATTCCGTCCAATAGACAACAATATATCTATGGTCCAATGTATATATCTATGGTGTGAAGATGCTGGACTTTTGCGCTGCGTAGGAGTGTAGTAACAAGCAATCAAAGAAAACAAACACAAAGTAAACAAGTATTACTTGCTAAACAAGTATTGATGATAATACAGTTGCATTCACCTTGAAGCAAAGTAGCACCAACTTGCACTAAATACTAGGCTTGTGCTAGTTTTGTTGAAAAAAAAAAAAGAAAACAGTGAAAAAGAAATATGACAAGATGCTGCAGTGCTAGTAACGTACGGCTAAGTGAACGAGTTGTTTATAACGGAGATTCATTCACAAACTAATCACTCCCTCTGTTAAAATTAGAACATGAAGCAGGAGGGGATGGGGGGGGGGGGGGGGGGGTGTTGTTCCAGGACACTAATTAAATCAAATTTAAGAGGTAAGGAGGATAATACATTTCACAAACACATGCTTTGTCAGGAATTCCCCTGCGGTTACTTATCCATCAATGTATAATTAAAAAAAATATTTGCTTACTGACCACTGGGTAAAAAGTCCAATGGGCCATTCTTCAATTATGTAAAAAAAAATAAGTTTAAATAAAACATAGCCTAATAAGTTTAAACTATTAGATTTATATAGACAAGAAGAGACTACACAGATAAGAAGAAAAACATTTTTTCCTTTTTGAACTGAACATGTCAATTCCACCACATCTTAATATATAGCTTTTATTTCAAAATGAAATAAATTATGGCAGTCAAACATTGTAAGATAATTTTTGTATCTAGTTTAACCAATTATTCCACAATATATAATAATTATAAATTTGTCAATGAAATAAATTAATTGTATGGTGAATTGTACACCTGTCACACTCTAAAATTTAATATTAATTTGCTAAAGAGCTTAGTAGAAAATAAATAAACTGAATTTGTATATTAAAAGAGCATGAACTTTTACATTGTAAATACACTTTTAATGTGTGATGAGAAGTTTTTTAAATATTTTTTAAGTCAAAGTCAAAGTCAGCTTTATTGTCAATTCAGCCACATGTACAAGACATACAGAGAATCGAAATTGCGTTACTCTCAGACCCAAGGTGCTTAACATTAATATAAAATATATATATAAAAAAATAGTAGAGTTTAAGAAAAAACAAAAAAAAAAAAGAAAATTTAGAAAATTTACAGTATATACATTGCACATAAATGTGGTCTAAGAAATATACATATGTAATAAAAAAATTGTAAACAATACAGTGACATTAAGGGCATATAGCAATGAGTGCAAAGTAAACCAGAGTTGTGCAGATAAAAAACAGTATAGTGCAAAAAGAACTTGTAAACATGATAATTGTGATAAAGTGACAGTGATATATTGGGAGGTAGTATATGTGTCTGCATAAAGTGACCAGTGCAGATGAGTGTGTGTGTGTGTGTGTGTCAGAGTCCAGAGGTGCGAGGGGAGGAGGTGCGTGGGGAGGGAGCGGGGAGCAGAGCTGGGAGAGAGTTCAGCTTCCTGACAGCCTGATGGATGAAGCTGTCTTTCAGTCTGTTGGTCCTGGCCTGGAGACTGCGTAGTCTCCTCCCTGATGGCAGCAGACTGAAGAAGCTGTGCATTGGGTGGGTGGCATCTGCTGTTATGCAGAGGGCTTTACGGGTAAGACGTGTGCTGTAAATGTCCTGAAGGGAGGGGAGAGAGACACCAATGATCTTCTCAGCTGTTCTCACTATGCGCTGAAGTGTTTTCCTGCAGGATGCATTGCAGGTTCCAAACCACACAGTGATGCAGCTGGTCAGGATGCTCTCAATAGTGCCTCTGTAGAAGGTGTACATGATTGGGGCTGGTGCTCTTGCTCTTTTGAGTTTGCGGAGGAAGTAGAGACGCTGCTGTGATTTTTTGGCCAGTGCAGTGGAGTTTTTGGTCCAGGAGAGATCCTCAGTGATGTGTACACCCAGGAACTTGGTGCTGCTCACACGCTCCACAGTCGCACCGTTGATGGTCAGGGGAGCATGGAGAGTGTGCTCTTTCCTGAAGTCAACAACAATCTCTTTCGTCTTCTCCACATTCAAAAAGAGATTGTTGTCTCTGCACCACTCGGCCAGACGGCTCACCTCACTTCTGTAGTTTTCCTCATCGTTTTTGTTGATGAGATGTTTAAATGTCTATGGTGATGGAAATGTCATTTTAACAGTTTGTGAAAAAATGAAAAATAGCTTCACCTATTAGCTTTGAACTGACACTAGTCACTGATACTTTGTATACATAACACTCTTATTTACCTTAATTTTGTTTGGTTTTTAAAAACATCTGAAGGTACAACATGTTTGGAAATGATGTAGGATAAATGTATTACCTCATCAAGTAATATTTACCTTGATTTTTCTTCAATTGTTGTTGATAAAAATGTAAATTCCCTCAACCTTGAACATGTTTCCAGATGGCACTCTTCATTTTCATAGAAATCACCAAAATAATCTTTCACTTTAACTTTTTAAAGGGACATTACATTGTTGTGGTGGAAATGACACTGATACTTATGCGACAGCTATATTTTGTATACAAAATTAATTTATTAATTTTTTTAGCTTAGTCCCTTTATTAATCTGGGATCACCACAGCGGAGTGAACCCTCACTTATCTAGCACATGGTTTATGCAGCGGAAACCGGAGCACCCAGAGGAAACCCATGCGAACGCAGTGAGAACATGCAAACGCCAACTGACCCAGCCGAGGCTGGAACCAGCGACCTTCTTGCTGTGAGGCGACAACACTACCTACTGCGCCACTGCGTCGCTTCTTGTATAAAAAAATATTGATAAGTCTCACAATAATAACTATAAAATTTTAATAATTTTACCAGTGCTTAATTAAGATACATTGGCCAGTCATTCACTGCACCTTGTCCTGCACTCATTTCAAAGCATCGCCACCCTGTACTAAATTGGCAGCTGTATTGACGCATTACTTCCAATAGACAACAACAGGGTAGGCGACATCTAATGTAAATATCTATGTCCGTCATTAATATTACAAATTCTATGACGACCATAATAACACATGAACCCCACCCAAAAAAAAACTGTTATTTAATATAACAATGTTCATTCATACAATGACATGTTCAAAAGGGTTCATTGGCATCTCAACAAAAAGTAATTTAGTAAAAATGACTTTCAAAGTCAAAAGTCACAACATAAATTAGCCTACACTACGAAGTTTCTAAACAAACCTGCCTAATTGTTGTTAAAAAACAAAGAAACAAACAATCAATATAATACATTTTTAGAAACAAACAATTATTCTTATTATTCTAAATTGTCCAAATTATAATTTCATTACGTTTATTTCTTATAACAGCATCAGAATAATAATAATAATAATAATAATAATAATAATAATAAACAAATACTCATAGTAATGACTAAAAGTTAACACTTGTTAAATCTATAAATGGTCAAAAGGCAATTGAATCACTGCATTGGGAAAATTAAACAATTAAATTGTGATTTGCATGAGGTTTCATTTAAATGTTGTGTTAGAGACAATGACAAACACCCAATGTTGAACATGTATTCCATAACTTTAATTTTAAGACATTACATTATTTTCACATTTGATATATTTAGCATTTCAGTCTCTATAGTCTCATAAGTCTGGGGAGAGGTCATTTTATGCATGAAATGTTTGCATATTCCATTTTCTAATTGACGTACGACCAGGATTCTGATTAGGTGAAAAACACAATACAACAACTTAAGTGGGAGAAAAACAAAACAAAAAAAACTCTTTTTCCTTATTTTAAAATGAGAGATGGAGACACAAATAAACCATCTGCAGCCAGCAGTTGTTTATGCACTCCTCCATTTTAAGGTCAGGTAAGGCCTCCAAATAACTGAAATAAAGTACACTTTATAAGTAATGACAAAAATAATGTTGACACATAACTAAAACCAGATTAGACAAATGATATGACCAATGACTATCCAGAAACACATATACATACCCAAGTCTCTATAATTAAAGATATCTGAGGCTTTTCTAGTTAAGGTGTCTACACAACTGAATTAGTAGTCTGACATTTTTAAAGGCAATAATCCACATATGATTTGCAATGACGTTGATTAAAGAGCTGACAACACAATACAGTACAAAAAAGTAATCAAGGATGTGAGTAGTGTTCTTCTGTACCGATTCATTTGTTTCCCTTTTTGATCAATAGAAACAGTCAACAGAATGTTCAAATCAATTACAAACCACATAAGTATGCATGAAATTATTGACATTAATTTGAATAATTAATTGAATTATTTAACAATATAAAGTGCATTATGACATGTAAATACAATAACTTGAAATATGTTCTATGACAAGACATAGAAACTCTGTCCATTTGATGAGTTTTGGATAGTAATAACAATTCCTATTTTACATTTATACACGTTGTTTTAAATATTGCTACAGTACAATGTTCAGGAAAAATAGAATCCACATTGTGGAAAAACAAAAGGAAAAGTTTATATTTGACCCATTCCTTAAATTTATTTCAAGGAATTCGGTATCGCAGAAGTGATGCATTCCAACATGCCTTAACCAATAAAATCAAAACAATGTTAACACTGACACAAGGCATTTTAAGATGATACTAAATGGAATATTCTGTGGAAGCAGATCATTGTATTTTATTAATAAGAGGTCTGTTCAATAACACTGAGTGGTGACTGGGCAATCATCAGCTAATAAAGAACAAAACGTGTCTTGGTTAACAATAAAGGGTGCACAGATTGTGATAAAACTTAAAAAAAAAGTTTCTAAGAAACTCTGAATTATATTCAGTCTCTTGTAAGTTATGCTTACATAACTTTGAGCATTAGCATCAATTACTAACTGTCGTTCGCTTAACGGCCACTGGCATTGCTAATAATGAGTCCCGTTTAGATAATAATTTTACAACCACAATTGAATGTTAATGATGCTCATATCTGTTGGAGGTTGGTACATTTTTAAATGTTTTTTAAATAAGTGTCTTCTATTCGATCCATTTGATATATGGAATTACTCTCACAATTAAATGTATATTTTTTGTTTTGTTTACCTAAAAATGAAAACCTGCCATTAAATCTTTCATCATAAAGACAATAAAGGAGATTATTAATTAAATTTCAATTCTTGGTGATTCATAAAAAATGAAATGTCTACTGGTACATTAGGAGTCCAAAATACAAAATACAAATTAGTGGCAAATCAAGCATGTTTCAGTGTCTTGTAACTATATGCTTTTTTGACTCTCAAAGTGCTGGTAGCTGTTGACATGTATTTGGTGAATCAATAAAAATAATGGTTTAAGCTAAAAATCATCTTAATTTTGGCATGAACTAAGATTGGGTTGGAACAGAGAGAGAAAAAAGATTCAGTAGTGAAAAAGGAAACGGCTTTCTGCAAGAAAAAGTCCAAGTATTGCATTTTTCCTGAAGTTTTATCATATACACACAAAATATGCTGATATTCACACACACACATACACACACACACACACACACACACACACACACACACACACACACACACACACACACACACACACACACACAACGCACTGATGATATTCAACACCAGACATTATAAGTGAGATCTTGAGTCTTTTACTTCTGTAGTTTCAATAAAATAAAAAATAATTAAAATAAATAAATGTTATTGAAGTGTCTTTGTAGTGCCAAAAGGGCATCCTAACATCTCATTCATACCACGTGATAGCTGTTGCCAGTTCAGTTGTCTGCCAAGTATTTACCTGTAGAATTATAAAAAAAAAACACAGCTCATGTTTAATATTGTAAATCGTAAAATTGGACTTTTATTTTTGGATGTGAAGTTACTTTTCCCATACAAGACTTACCTGCAGAAAACCTTTTTTTAACCAGGGACAGTCTGTACCCTGAACCTACGAGATGAAAATCACAGCCAGATAAAGTGCTGCCCTCACTGGTAAACTGCACCGCGAGCTGAGATGGTCTGCTTGGGCCTTCAGCTAACTGGAAGCGAGCCAGAAGTGCACCTACTCCTGTCATGAACAACAGATTGTAAAAGAATGTTTATTCAGACTATGCATTTGTATTAACATATTCATGAAGTTGATAAATATACTGCAATGCTATAGCACACAACCTGATAGGACACAATACTGTATATTCTCTCAGAGCAATAACATTTTTAAAACTACAAAAAAAGTGAATGCATACTTAACCAGACAAGCATTGGTGGCCATTAATGTTGTTAAACAAGCCATTTTATTTGATTCTATTTTAAACATTCAAGCTCCACTGCTTGCCACATAAAAAAAAAAAAAAAAAAAAAAAAACAGTTTGGCTAATATTCCCACTAATGTTTGATTTTTAGAGTCATTGCATTACGGTGCAAGATGCCGATTAGCTCTCCAGTAGACGTAACCAACAGTAAAAGCGGTACATGGAAACGGGGCCTTAGTAATTCAATGTAATACAAAGTTTTGTCATTATGGGCACGCATGCTGATCTTGACCTATCTGCTTCCAACTACATGGTGCAGATGCAAGCGTTAATGCTATCAATTCAATTCAATGCATTTGTTATTTGAGCTAGCACATTTTCAATGAAATCATCTTAAAACAACAGCAAAGATAAATTAAAGATAATCTTCTACTTTTAGCTATGTGTTATTGGTCTATTTTTTGTTCTTAAAAGGGATCTATAAATCACCTTTAAGAGGTTTTAACCCAGTGGTGTGGCAACAGTATATGAATATAGCCAGCCTCTAATTGTCACAGAACAGAATCAAAGGAGAAGTTTGTGCAGTTGAACCAGTCTTTATTAATAGTTTAACAAAGGCAGTCTGTAAGTAATTCAAATGAATCACACAGAACCGGTTCTTCAAAGCCAACTCATAAGGCAAACCCCGGCCGGGGCGAGAGAGGAAAAGAGTCGATCGGTCCGTGCCCACCACAGCGATGCGGGAACCACTGACCTCCGGCTGCTGATGGTCAGAGCACAGTCAACAGGTGAGTAAGTAAGTGGCGGCACTCAGAACATGCAACGATGAATACAGGAGGGATGATCGACAACCAGATCGAGACTAGACGAGACAAATGAGGATGAGATCTGATGTAGAGGAAAGACTAATACACGGATTGCTAACGCACAGAGTAACAATAATCTGACAACAGGAGGAGAAATAAGGGAGGTAGATATAGGAGTGTCAATAATGACAAAGCGGGAACAGGTGACTGCTGATCAGCGCTCGCGCTGATTGCAAGCGCTGACAGCTGGCAAGGGAAGACACAGAAGGGAAAAAGATTGACAATTAACAAACCAGATTCATGACACTAATTGTAAAAATGTATTACTTCTATCTTTTGTAATCACACTTTATAATAACAGTCTGCAAAAACTTTGAATGACATTCTTTTTCATGTACATGTTATCAAAGGGTGGGAGGATATATTCGACCCATTAGTGACGATCTGTCTCTCTTTAGCATAAAAGCAGCTAGGGCTGTGCAATTAATCGAAAATCCGATTTCGATTTTAGCTTCTAACGATTATGAAACACCATTAATTGAGATAAACAATTATTAACTTAGCAGCCCGAAAGACTGCGTGCTTATGTGTGTGTGTGTGCGGCGCGCGCACACTGGGGGTGCATTTCCCAAAACCATCGTTAGCCAACTAAGGTCGCAAGCTTTGTCGTTACAAACATAGTTCGTTGATTTTCCATTTTCCAAATCCATTGTTCCAAAGTACATTCGCAAACTGCATCGCAAACTTGTAGGCTTGCTGTAGCTAGAAGCATAGCTCCTAGTTGTTTTCTATTCTCAGTTATTCCCCTATGTCTTATTCCTTTTAAACCTTAAAACATTTAAACTTTGAATGATTAAAAAAAAAAAAAACATAAAAAATAATCTCTCTTGTTAGTAATTTGCTTTCAATGTATTTGTGCAGTTCAGTTTTAGCAATCTTTATATTGACAATTGGGTGCCCTTCACTGTAAAATAATGTCTGTGATTTTAACAATAAATGTCTGTACAATCTATAATGAAAATTATTAAATTATTAACAGCTAATTTCTGTACAAAAAGGAAAATAGCTGTAACAGACCTAATTTATGTTTTCGAGAAACCAATCAAAGTGTCTGAAATCTAACCATACACCTTCATTCACTAGTCCCTAAATTAGTCAATTAGATTAGTCCAATAGACAGAGTGAATGACCACAAAATGACTGAATTCAGACACTAATGAACACCTGCTGTTAACAAGCACAATCACTGAAGGAAAGAACAAGAATTAAAACTACAGGTACAGCCACACACCAAACTAACTGAATTAAAACAGAGAATTTAAACAACTCCATTAAATAAAGGCATTACCAGCTTTACTGATTACAGTTTAACTTAAATTCTCTCATATCTGCAAAAATATTTGATAATTAACAGAGGTTTATATATATATATTTTTTGAAAATATTTTATTTGACCTCACCATCATGGAGATCAGTGGCTGCTTTAGTTGGGCTCTTGAACTTTTACTATTCTATCTTAATGTTTTACTGGCTGATATAACTGTGTTTCTGAAACTCCTCAGTTATAGCAAGAAGAACAAATGAGAAACTATACTGTGTGTAATTTACAGTTAATTGTTATAGATATAATTTATAGTATTTTATAAGTTAAGCCAAAGAATTTTTTTTTGCTATTGTTTGGGATATGTTACAGCATCCCATTGAAGTTGAACAAACAATAAAAAAAAAAAAAAAAAAAAACTAATACTACTAATTAGGGTTGGGCATCTAAGCTATAATGCCGATTCGATACGCATTTCGATACAAAGAATACGACCTGATATATTAGCGATACATTTGTGACATTGCGATGCAACACGATACGATTTACACCCATATCACGATACAATGCGATAATTCAGAACTAACTTATTAGATCAAGTTTATGAGATGATGTAAGAAAGGATGCTGTGCCATTGAATGAGTTTGATTATTTATTAACCAAGTAAAACCAAGACTTTTTTTACAAACTGGCTTTTCTCTCAGAGCCAGAGTGTCAGTTTACAGTAGAGGGCCATTTTAGAACCTATAGCACATATTATTTAAGTATTTTCAAGATAAACAGAATGTATAAGTGCAATATATATTATAAATGTATATATTTACACTTTCAACATAAAGGTTTACCATTGCACAACAAGAATTGTGATTTAACTTTTCAACTATGAAAACAAGTTTTACAAAGATATATTGTGCCACTGAATATTCAAAACTTAAGGTCATGAACTAGCAGTGTTATGCTGCTTTGAAACATCACTGTCACTGTAAACAACAGGCTAATAAAAATATAAATAAATAAAAATTAACAGGAGGTGTTTAAAACCTTCGTTCTCTGTGACACTAGGCTGAATATCTTTGCAAATGAACAATGCAATAGCATTCGTTATTGGCGTAGAGCGAGCAGAACTGTTGCGCATGGAGAAAACTTTCAATGCTTTTCTCACCACTTTTGGAGCTGGTAGCTACAGTTGAAGCAGAGCAGGAAGCCGGGGATGCAGGAACACTGGAAGATGCTTCCACAACAACACAGAGGCGCCGCTTCAAGTAAGATATCAGATTAGTCGTACTGCCCGTGTATTTTACAGATGCGCGGCACATATTGCAAATTGCATCTGTCCTGTCAAGTCGTCCATCCTTTTTGCAGAATCCATAATGTTGCCATACTTTAGATTTAAAACTCAGTGAGGAATAAAATGTTTGTTTTGCTTCTCGCGCTTTCTGAGGGCGCACCACTAGCTTCATCAGCACACCTGATAAACTGAGTTGTAGTGTAAGTGTACACATCCGCATCTGCTGCTCTACCGATGCATGAACGCGTATCGATACATATCGGTTAATCTTCCCATCCCTACTACTAATACTTTAATTCTTAGACTTTACAGACCTGAAACTTGCCTATAGCACTTATTCATTGTTGCTCTTAGTTGTGTAAATTGCTTGCTTGTCCTCATTTGTAAGTCGCTTTGGATAAAAGCGTCTGCTAAATGACTAAATGTAAATGTAAATTATCAAGGATTTAATAAAATATTAAAATTTTATAGGTTTCATGCACACAAGATTGAAATTTCCAGCTGCACATTGTGACACTCAGACATCAAGAATCAGGATAGAAACCATTGTTGCTAAAAAGAAAAAAAGCTGCTTAATTCATTCATGCTTTAATGTATGCTGGGTGCCAGCATAGTACAAAAATCTCAGCATGCATTGCAGCATGAATATATTATGCAGCTTAAAGTTCTTGCAATCGATTTAATTTACTTTATTTTATGTTGTTTTTGGGAGGCAATATTTCAGTAGATTGTTTTGTATTGTTCTGGGTTGATTTTTATTATTTGTTTGTCACCATTGTTGAGATTCAAAGACTAAGTGTTGATGTCTGTGTGTGTGTGTGTTTAAAGTTCTGCCATAGTTCAAGCATTCTAATTATGAATGATGTATTTAGACCTATTAAACAGTCATTGGCAGCTGTAGGTCAAGTGGTTTCATTTAAATATGGTATTAATTTATCACTCAGGTGAGGGTTTCGATATCATAGTTAAACTTATCAGACTTAATTTATTTTTGATTTTTTTGGCTTGTCATGCTATACAAATAGTGTGATTGACACAATTATTTATAGCAGCCAAAATAAGTCAAGTGATGTGATTTCGCAGGTCAGAGTTCACCAAGCTTGAACTCACGTGTGTATAAATGGAAGTCCACGGGGAGAAAAGCCCAGTGTGATCACAGCTTTAGGGTTGGGCGATGTCGACCAATTTGGCATTGTACGATGTCTAATGTGAAACACATGAGGTGAATTAATTATTTATGAATAATTAACTAATGCATAACAAATTAATTTTTTGTAGAATACCGTTTAAATTACCTGACCCGCATGGTCTTTGTTTTATGCTATGATCACACCAGACACAGAACGTGCAGATAAATCATGCTATTCCCACGTAAATAGCCACGTGAACATTTGCATTTACTTGATTCATTCGCGCATCAAACCCCGCTTCATTCGTGCGATAAACCCCGCTTCATTTGCGCGTCGAATTCACTTCTGAACAAACCCGGATTCACGTCATAGGCATGGCTTCTGTCTACCAATTGACTCTAGCTTTGTTGCTAAATGGCTAAAATGAATTTTATTAAGAAAATAACAGTGTTTATTTGCTTTATGAAGGCTGAAAAACAGTGTCAATACAAGGCCGTGTCTGAGTCTACTAGATCCTGTCAGAGGTGCATCCAGCTCTGTATTTAAATGGCAGCCAATGGTGACTTTTAACTAGTGGAAATGCATTTGTTGATATAAATAACAATAGTTTTTACTAGTAAAGATGCAATTGTTGATATCAATAACTATAGTTTTTAGTAGGGGAAATGCAATTGTTGATATCAATAACTATAGTTTTTACTAGTGGTAATGCAATTGTTATCAAAAATTCAGTTGTTGATATCAAAAATTTAAATTCATCATTATTATGCACATTATTGAATTCATATATGCACATATCCAAAAAGCAATTTGTGCGATCTAAAACAATCAATACTAGTGAAAATGCATTTTTAACTTGTAAGAATTAAGTTGCAGATATCAAGAAATAGGGGTGGGCGATATGTAAAAAATATCATATCCCGATTCTTTCTGGGGAAATCACGATTCACGATTTTTATACCGATTTTTTTTTTTTTAAGTTGTTTTTTAAGAATATTTTGCAAATTACAAAGGTACAATACAACCAAACTAATGTCCCCACATAAAAATATACTCTTAGCATGTATGTATAAGAATATTTTAATCAAGTGAAGATTTAATGCAAGTGCTATTCTGCAAAGAAAGAACATTCAACAAGACTTGCATTACAATTACTGTACCATCAAAATTAACATTTGTTTAACAAATCTAACAAATCTTAGTTTAACAAGTCTAACAAATCAGCTTATTAGACATAGATCCTCAGCAACACCTTTAAAAATGTAAATGGCTTATTTTTTTTACAAAGTTAAATAAAGTTTAAATAAAAATATCACTGTCAATGCAAGTGCACAGACTTTAGCATAACTCCCAAAATAAACATTGGCTTAGAAAAGAAAAATAAACATACAAACAGTAAACTACCTTTTGTACTCTGTTAAGTACCATAGATTTTTGTGCAACATGTTTCAGAACCAAACAAATAAAATAAAGATACAAAAATATTTCCTGACCTCATTCCCGAGTCTTGTAAACTTAGCAGCTTTGGAACATATACATTTCAAAAGATAACAAAGTATGACAAATCACAATCACAAATTCTTAGAAAGGAAGACCAGCTGATTCACTTTCTCGGGCTTAAGAGATGCCCATTGGCAGGTGTTGATATTGCCACCAGTACTGAAAGCCCTTTCTGAGGGAGCACTTGTGGCTGGAATGCAGAGATACTTTCTAGCAAGCTGGCTAATTCTTGGAAAGTTTGCCTCATGGACTTTCCACCATTCCAGCGGATCCACCTCACTTTCTGCATTTGGCGTGGACAAGTATCCCTTCAATTCTCCTTCCATTGCCTCTTTCAGAGATGAGGAAACTGATGTGGTTGCAGATGCACTTGCAACACCTAAGGCTTTTAAAAAGCTGGAAAGTGTTTTCTTTGCTTTCTTGGGTGGTGTCTGATCCTCATCAAGGATTTGTGACGTGGAGGCTGAGGTATTAGATGTAGACTGCTGATCTGATTTTGGATACTGTATGTGTATGGTCATCAAAGACTCCAGCTCAGCCACAGCTCTGGTTTGTATTCCCTCTACCTTGTCTTTGGCAATGAATTGTGTTTTGAATCTGGGATCAAAAAGCGAAGCCATATCCAGCAGGTCATCAGTGGTGGGGTCCTGATATTTGTCAGTGAGGTAATTCAGAATGGTTGTCTTCATTGTTTTTGTTAGTTCAGTGTCTTCATCATTCAGGCTCAAAATGTTGACTTTCAACATGTGAAGCACTGGCTTGACATAAGATACACTCACATAGTCCTCACCTGAGAGTGCATCTGTAAAGTCTCTCAGTGGACTCAGTGCCTTTTTCACAGACTCCATCACGTCAACATCTTGCCAGGATGGAACCAAATGCCTTGCCTTGTCTGCCTTCAGGACCTGAGAAATCGCCTTTTTCTGGTCAAGCACTCGCTCAATCATGCTGAGACTTGAACCCCATCGTGTTGGGGACTCAGTGATGAGCTTCTGTTAAGGTAGCTTTAGCTCAGCTTGAGCATTACTTGGTTCCCTCTTTTTCTTCCAGCTGAAGGAGAATGTGCTGACAACTTTCTTGCAAACAGATGTTGCACGTTCAACACGAGGGTCTTTGGCACTTTTTTCTAAAAAAAGAAAAAGAAAAAAAAAGAACAATGTATCAATTAGATTTAACCTAATGCACAACACAATGTAAAAATGTATATAAAATGTTTAAATGTATATAAACATTTCATTTACAAAACATTTACTCATACCAGTGCCAGTGGCGCCCCCAGAAAAATTTCATAGGGGTGGCCAAATGAGGCCACATCAAATCTTGGGGTGGCACACACGAAAAAATTAATTCAGTGTAATGTTATATTTTTGTGTTGATGTAATAATGTGATTTTAACTAGCAATTAATTACTTCAGTAATTCAGCAATTATAATTCAGCAAGTATATGTGCAAACCTAATAAAATTTAATATTTAGTTTTAAAACACTTTTCAGGCCAGTTATTTTTCACATACTTTTATTGTTAAGCAGTATATGCCATATCTAAAATTAATGAAGATTAATGAATTAAGTCATTTTGGTGGCTGCATTGTATTGATTTATTTATTTATTGTAATACTGTGAATTTACATAACTAAATATAAATTAATAATATCAAAAGCAAAATCATATTGGGGTGACTAGAGTTTACACACAGCAACCCCTGGCCACCCCTTGGGGGCGCCCCTGACCTGTGCAATTACAACAAACTAATCTTATGATTTTACTATGTTCAAAGTTCCTAATGTAATTTGCAATCATGTATTATAATAGCTGAATATAATCACTTGAATATCGGAGACCGTTATTATTTTTAGTTGCACTTACCGATGGCTAGGTGGAGTCTGTGCCCAAAACACTGCAGACAAGTCCAGCTGTTGAGCTCCAATGCCTTCACCATGTTGGCCCCATTATCTGTCGTCATACAGGTCATGTTTGCTTCTTTCAGTCCCCAACATTCAAGCGCGTCCTTAAGACCTTGCGCTATGACCTCGCCTGTGTGGTCTTGTGGAAAATATGTTATTTCTAGACACTCACGCACCGCACAACTTCCACTCATGAATAAAGTGAATCATCAGACTTAAATACGGCTCTGACGTACGGCTAGACCATAAATCAGCCGTTGTAGCGAAAAGCTTTACGTTTTGAATTTTATTTTGAATCTTGCTGCGGCACTCTGAATAAAGCTGTGGAATGGCAGTGGAGGAAAAATATTTGCGGCTGGGTATTTCGTAATGTGGATCTATGACTTTAAACAATCTTTTGAAGCCCTCATTTTCCACAGTCTTTATAGGAATCATGTCTTTGGTCAGGTAAAATGTCACGGCATCAGTTACGTCTTTCCAGCGCTTGCTCGTTCTCTCATACGGAGTTCCTTTGTGATACGTTTCTTTCGTTAGAGTTGTTTGTTTAAGCCTTGTCGTTTCTGGCTGCTTGGATGTACCTGGTGATGTACTTGCGTGGGGTCCTTTTAAAATTTGACTCTCTGCATATTCTTTCGGGTGCTTTCTCTTGAGGTGGTTAAAAAGGTTCGTTGTGTTGCTATCCGTCGTGCGAATCTTATCATTGCAACATTTGCAAATAACTGTTGTTTGCGCTGTGTCTGTTAGCAAAAATCCGAACCATTTCCATATTACAGAAGTTGATTTTTTTTTAGGAACCAACTCTTCTTCACTGACTACAGCCCTATCAAGAAATGTTTATTACTTGTTGAAATTTCATTTTTGATTTTTGATATCATGAATGTTTTCCTCCAAGTAATGACGTCATTTTTGATATCAAGAATTCGGGTTTGTACTAGTGGAAATTATGGCAAGCCGTAACTTTTATTCCTTCTCAGGATATGTATTCTTCATATCAACAATTCAATTTTTGATATATCAACAATTAACATTCTTGATATCAACAATTCAGTTCTTGATATCAAAAAATGTAATTCTTGATATCAAAAATGTAATTTTTGATATCAAGAATTACATTTTTGATATCAACAACTTAATTTTTGATATCAACAATTACATTTTTGATATCAAAAATTGAATTTTCACTAGTGATAATTGTTATTTCAGATCTCACAAATTGCTTTTTGGAAATGTGCATATATAAATTCATCAATATGCATAGTAATAACAAATTTACATTTTTGATATCAACAATTGCATTTCCACTAGTAAAAAGTCACCATAGGCATCCATTCAAATTGAATTGTTGATATCTAGAACTGGATTGTTGATACCAAGAATTGCCTTTTTGGATATGTGCATAAATTAATGATGAGTGTCATCCTGTCCTCCCTTATAGGCCGGTCGCCGATGTTACGACTCGGCACAAACCACTCCCCTTCGCGTGCACGCACGTCGCTTACTAGAATGCAGCGCTTGTAGTTAAACCACAGTCTATGTGCTAACACTCCAGTTTTTCCAAGGAGTTTCCCTTATTTTACATCTATCTTCACACACCCGTTTTGTTATTTCACCGGAAAACTCGCGCAATTCCACCCCTAGGTCCTCATCTTTTTGGTACAGTCTCTCTCCCGCCACCTGATCTCCGTTCCATGGTACTAGAGTTACTACTAAAACCCCCAAAATCTCCTCTACTCTACCGATCTCCCTGAATTTCAGAGACAAATGTTGGCAGGTATCAGCAGTTTATCATAGGCTAAACATTTTATCGATTGTTTTGTTGCCACAGTTGGCACCAAACACAGACATAGAACTTAGTCATATGATTGACAAGCAACACCCAAATGTGCCAGGACAAGGCAATCTGCCAGCTAGAAAACGTCATCGACGGATTTATATGTAGTTTTTCTAATTATTATGTGAAGTGATTATGAACTACATCCTTTTGCTCTTCCCAATAAACTTCCCTTTTCGTCACAATTATTATTTGTAATCTTTTGTGTTAAAAAGCATACTGATAAAATAACACAAGACGTGTGAAATTTTCTAAACATGAAATTTACATCAAACATGAAAGTAGAATAATTAATATTTCTATTTATGTGAGTTGTAACAGATTGTTATGATAGTACAATATGTGGCTGAGTAACAACTCTGGAATCTGGAAAAATCTGGAATCTGCGGGTTCAAAATAATTTCAAATTGAGAAAATCTCATTTTATTTTGCCTAAATTAAACCTTTAGCAATGCATCTTACTAATCAAGCAGAAATGTTTTGACAAATTTACAGTAGAAAATAGCTCAAGCACATAATCTATACTAATGTTTTTTGACATAAAATAAAAATGAATACTTTTCATTTTTACCCATTCATGGTAAAAATACATCCATGCAGCATAAGTTTGTGATCTACACTGTCAGAATAAAAAGGTACATGTGGTACAAATAATGCTCCTTAAGGAACAGTTGTGTACCTTTGTAAAAGTTGCACCTAATAAAGGACAGAAAAGGCCTCTTATGATGCTGTTCTGTACTTTTTACGGTACAATTGAAATGAATGTACACAATTGTTCTCATAAAAATGGTACATAAGTGTTGGATAACTCATTTATTACAATATCTATGAAAATAAATATGACTTGAAAGGCAAAGTGATTGTATGAATAATTTTCATATTAAAACATTAATCATCATTTAAAAGCATTTGTTTAAAGAAACAAAACAACTGGTAAAACAAAGCTATATGTATTGTAAACTAAACATTTAAGGCATTTTAATCAACATTTAGTTTGCTGGCAAAGTCCTGCAAAGTGTGCAGACATTGTACTATTGTTAAACTAATCAAACATTGTGCATACAGTATCTTGGGTCACACTTTACAATAAGGTTCATTAGTTTATGTTAACTAATGCATTTAATAAGATGAACAAACAATGAACAATACATTTACTTCTGTATGTGTTCATGTTAGTTAACGTTAGTTAATTAAAATACAATAGTTCATCATTAGTTCATGTTAACTCATGGTGCATTAACTAATGTTAACAAGCATAAACTTGAATGTTAATAATGCATTAGTAAATGTTCAATTATGATTAATAAATGCTGTACATGTGTTGTTCATGATTAGTTCATGTTAGTAAATGCATTAACTAATGAACATTATTGTAAAGTGTTACCGTATCTTGTTACAATTCATTCATTCATTTTCTTTTTGGCTTAGTCCCTTTATTAATCTGGGGTCGCCACAGCGGAATGAACCACCAACATATCCAGCATATGTTTTACGCAGCGGATGCCCTTCCAGCCGCAACCCATCACTGGGAAACATCCATACTCACTCATTCACACACACTTATACACTGTGGTCAATTTTAGCATACCCAATTCTCCTGTACCGCATGTCTTTGGACTGTGAGGGTAACCGAAGCACCCAGAGGAAACCCACGCGAACACGGGGAGAACATGCAAACTCCACACAGAAATGTCAACTGGCCCAGCCGAGACTCGATGCTCAGAGACTTTCTTGCTGTGAGGCGAATGTGCTGTGCCACTGCATCGCCATCTCCTAACAGTACTTTTTGCATAATTCAGTTGCTAATTTAATATTACGTAAATTGAAATGGGGTACAAAGCTATTGTGTGAAAATAAGAGAAAAAAAAATATTGTACATGAGAGAAAGTGTTTCAGTACCACATTTTAGTAAAAAGTATTGCGAAATGATTAGCAAAAATAGAAATATTATAATTTATTTCAAAGTATTTTTTATTGTTTATTGTAAATGAGAAAGGTGCATTTACACAAAAACAAACCTTTAAAAAATATTGTTTAAAAATATGTTTGATGTTTTATATTTACTGAAAATAAATTGACCCATGATTTATATATTGCAAAATGCCTTTAAATAGTTCTTAAAGGAACAGATTTGACACTGTTAAAGTACAAAGTGTCTTGTCACTGTAATGGTACCTTCATGCATCAGATTTGTACCTTTGTACAATATTGTATCTGCATGGTTTAAAAACCAAAGGTACATTTTGGTTTCTCATGGTACAAATCATGTCCTTAAAGGTACAAACTGCAATGGTACAAATTTGTTTTTTGTCTTAAAGTACAATTCTGTTCCATAAAAATGTACTGCACAAGTGACAAGGAGTGTGCAGGCCAGGGTCACATTTTTCTATATAACTTTTTTTGTCCACTTTGATGACATACACAATAAGGCACATTGCCCAAAGAGAAGATTTGTCAAATTTTCAGACACAATTAG